ACTAACCACTCTTCGATTAGTCATGGACACTTCTCTGTAGTATATAAGGACTTCAGATTGCGTCCTCCCTCTTCAGTCTTTCCTTACTGACTGAAGAGTGAGTACTTCGTTACATCCATCTCTAACTTGTAGTTACTTACTTGACCTTTGTAGTCTTGCTTCGACTCTAGGTACAGTTCGTTGCTGCAATATAGTCTTTCCTTACTGACTGAAGATCTTGCTTCGACTCTAGTCGGATCTAATCCTTGTCTTCACAGCCCCGAGTTTATCACCCTCTTCTGAGTCCAGACAGTTGGTATGCACATGAGCGTCGGTATGCTCTTGCACAAACCGTACGCGGTTCTGCCGCTGTCCCAGGCGGCTGCCTTCCTCCGATAAGGGAATGTCGACATCTCTACATGCCATGAATATGACACTATTTTGGGTGTGACTTTCTTTCTCTGGATTACTCACATCCCTCGGGCTCTAGGCGGTGAGTCATCCGTTGCGCTCTCTCGATATAGACCATGCAAGTCGAATTTTGGGGCATTTGGCATAGCTTGTTTCCAGAGCGAGCCACCTGGGATTGGACACAATGAGCCGTGAATGGAAATGTGAGCCCTGTTTACTGGACAGGCTTCGCTTCTCTCTGGGGCGGACGCGCCCGTCCTGCCACAGGCCGGTGCCGTTATTCCCGCTCCTGCACTTAGCTTCTTCGAAAGGCCGTGCACCACCCAACCACACCATGTCCTTGGCTAAGGCGTATTCCTAGCCGCATCTACTGATCACATAGCCATGTCAGTGCCTCGTAGGCCACTCGACTTTCCTGCGGCTCTGTCATAGTCTAGCCATGTAGGCGTGTAGGAGAAGGGTTTGTTCGATCGTATCAGCCGGTTCCACCCGCCCGACCCTCACGATCTTCCTGTCACCACAGTGTTAGCCCCACGCATCACCGCATCCCCTTCACTCAGCCAATGTGCCGCATCTATTGGCGCTCACCCTGGTTGTCGCCGCCTTCTTTCCTGCTGCGTCCATTCGCCCCATAATGCTCGGCGAGAAATGTTCGCGCTGACCGGTAGCCAAGTGGGACCATGATCTATACATGTGCTGACAGCGGTGCCTGATATGGGCTGGCTACAACTCCGACTACCCAAAACTTGGGATCCCATTGGGTGAGATCCCAAGCGGGCGAGGCAGTAAGTTGCCTTCTTAGGACGTCTCGTGAGACTCCCAGCGCGGAGCTTGCTGGCGGTCTTAGGAAGAGGGGGCTGCGCATGTCATATGTGGTGCTCAGGGTCGGTAATAAAAGTATTCTGAATTGTTTGTGACTTCGCGTTTACCATCCATTGAAGCGTACTGACGGCGCCAAACAGGTCGTACAAAAGCGCAGCGGATGCGCCGCATCTCTTCCCCTCCCACATAATATTGCGATAACTTCTCCATACCATTTAATCCAATTTCTCTGCTACGACCATTACGACGATCTTTGCTTTTCCTCCAATTGCACTATGGCCACGCATGCAGGCAGACTGCCAACCCGGCCCAGTCACAAGGTCACCTTCAGTGGCAGTGATACGATCCATCTCCTCTCACCCCCGAATGGGTCACTGTCTGTTCCGGCGACACCGTTGCAGCCGACCGTTCATTACCCTGATACACAACTCCATGCCATCAGAGCCATGTCTACAACCGGTTTGGGTGCTCAGCAATGGTACGGCCTACAGCAGCATTCATTTCCAGTGGCTTCCCCTGCGCAGTATGCTCAGCCTGCGTACCCCGCGAACTACATCAGTCACTACCCCTCGGGACACGCCGAACAATATGGTGCCTACAGTGTCAACCAGTATGCTGCAGGCCCCGGTACAGTGGGCGGCTTCGTTGGCATGGGAGACCGCAGCGACGTGGGTCATGGTTGCCCGCCCCCGACCACACACACTCCTATCTCTTGCCCGGCGCCCCTCTTGGCAAACCTGTCCCTCCCGTCGACACCCTCCGAGACACCACTCTCGCGTTCCCCGCAAAGCTCTCCTCCGCGCACTCTGCAGGATTCTCCGCGCCCTCAGTCGTCGTCGTCGTGGGGGACTCCCTCCCCGGAACCGGATGCGCGGGCGGGCAGGGACTCGGATGTATCCCCGCACCTTCAGAAATTTGCACTGAAGTGGGATGTTCGGGGCGACAGGCTGAAGTCTCTCGACAATCCTCCGTGGTTCAGCGAGCCCGCTTTCCGTTCAGGGCGAACTAGCTGCGAGCTGAGTTTCAAGGCCGACAGCGAGCGCTGGAGCATCCAAGTGCCTGAGAGCAGACGCGGGCGCGCCTTGACTGTCTGGGACGTTCTCTGCGCGATCGACACGGAGCTCTGGGAGGAGCTCGAAGCCCACGATTTCTACAAAGGCCACCCGCGGTTCGACGACGCTAAATTGGAGCGGTCTTATCGTCATCTCGGGGATCAGGATCGCGAGACGAACACCTTCAGAAGCGTTGACTTCTTCCCCGAAGATGGATCAGACTTCTTGGGACTGAAGGAGGACGTCGAGAAGAGGCCAGGGGCATTCATTGTCGTCATAGGCTCTACTCCTTCTCCTTGAGGTACGTTCCTTGGACTTTGTCATAGCGCTCAACAAATACTCACGCCCTTCGTGTCACTTTCCAGCCTACTGCGTAGTCTGTGTGGTTACGTCTCTGATTTTTGTGCCATATCCTGCGGTGCACAGCGCTTTGATGAGTATCTTGATCTGTAATATGCTACACAAGTCATAGCCGATCATTGCACTCCATGTATCATAATCATCGCTGTATACTCCCCCTGTCCTTCTTGCCATCACGATCATGATGCAGGATTCCTTCTTCCCATTATGATGTCTCCTATCTTTGACGGTTCGGCGTGGTAGTCTATGCTTTGTATAGTATACGCCTTACTACGTCCATACCGATAGTTATCAGACACTCCCTGTATTCCGACGTAGGCAGCTTCCCTCCCGCACCTCACAACATATCATGGCGTGTCCACACTGACCCTCATGCCGCTGAGAGCCGTCAGAATGTCGATCGACCACCGATTTCCTCAACGCCAGGAGACAGCGCTTCGAATCTCATTATTCGGAAATCGACCGCCCGGATTATTCGTGAATCTGTGCGAGGCAACAACGCATTGAATCTGGCGATGACTCCGGTCATTTACAACTGTTCAGCCCTTCAGATGATCCTACATATTGGGGACGCCAAGGGATGCGGCTAGGCACCGTCCGGAATGCATGACTCTGACCTGGGCCGATTTGGTACCACTTTCCGCGGAGGCTACTTCGCCGAATATAGGCCTACGCAGAACGCCTTGAGAATCGTCATCACACACTTTTGAACATGGCATGGCTTTAAGTTGCCTGTGGCGGACATGATGACTCGAGGATAACCCTCCCCCCCATATGACTTCGGATGGACCCTGACATATGTATAACCGCAAACCATGAACCAGGACCCACATGAATTCTTATAAGCTGATTTACGACTCCGCGAATCATTCCGGCTCCAGTATGCGCCTCGTGCGTTTCGCGTGCAAGGGCTGATCGTATTACGATACACTGACAGTACAGTGGCCTTGAACATGGCAGAGATACGTACCGCTACCTAGAAGCGCTTGATTCTCGCCCTCTACTCTTTAATCCACTTCGAAGATTATCACAGAAGGAAGAAAAATACTGAGACGATACACGCATTGATTGCAGTGGAGGAGTTGCTAGTGCTCCCGGCGTTTAGACCTCTTCGAATAAGCGCGCGCCATGCAATTCTCTTGACCTTCGCCACCACTGTGCAGCAGCCCGAGCTAACCCCCCTCCCCCCAATTATCGGATTCTCGACCACAAAGCCAGCATCTTCTCTCACATCTGACCACTCACTACGGTCCGCTTCTACGAAACACGACCCCCCTTCGAGAGATGTTTCTCGCTTATTCAGCCAACGGCCGTATGATTTCAATGCGAGACGTTCAAGTGCCTACTAGGGTCCTTTGCGCCCAAACAACGGAAGCGATGAGAGGGACAAAGATGGCAGCACTGTCGTCGCACTTACTGCCCACGACGGATATGGAAGCCCACTGAGTCTTGCGGCGACTTGAAGATCAACATTCGAGCCCGGTTTGGACGATCTGTTGGCGGCCCTGGCCTCCATGCATTCATTTACAAGGCCGTGAGTGCCATAGTAGCTTCACTTGGTGACCACACCTCATCGAATTTTCAGTTCTCTGACGGAGCCCTGGCATATATATTGACCAAAACCTTTCCCGCCGTGTGCATCCTTAACCTTCGACCCTCTGTCGCCGCTTTTGATTAGTGAGTCCTATCAGGACTGTCTTGATATGTTCACTCGCGCCAAGATGTGAGTCCGACCAATTCCCTCTGCACCATCCCTCCTGAACCCGACTTCCATCAAGGTAGTATTGCACTCGGTGCGTGCGAGGGTGCTGTCGCTCTCCGAAGACAAACTGACTGAAGTAGCACAGGTGTGGCCTTCCCGTCACTCCCCATGATGTCTTCATACGGAAGGACCCCTAACACTTCAACGCTCGACGTGCCAAGACCCAAGGGAGAAGTGCGGACACCCAGTAGCTCGCTCATTCACGGAGCTTGCTCGTCTCAGTCACTGTCGTCTTCGTGAAACGCCGTATATCCATGATGTCTGACGGGCCTCGGGAGGTAAGTCATATAATGTGTTTTCGAAATTTTAGTCTAGAAGTCGTGTGAACACTTGGCATGGCGCGAGGTTGTCCGAGGGACGGCAAGACGTATCCGATTACAGTCCTTTCGCAACCGGATTGGATCTGCCCAATCTCTGAATTGGTGGTGCGGCGGATACCTTGTCAAGCGCGCTATTGCACGATGAAAATTGGCAGTGGAGGCGATGTGCGAGGGACCCATCTCAGCTAGATCTGTACTGGGAGCGCTGACAAATTGGACCCCACCGGTTTCGGATCGCCTGCGAAAGGAATCTATTGTCCGCAATGGGAATTATAATCCCTGTACTATGGTGGCTCTGCTCCTTGCCAAACCTAAGCGCCCCTCCTGCACTAGCGTGGTCATGGTCTGCACGGAGGCCGTGCAGCACCCAACCACCCCATGTCCCTGGAAGAGGCAGAGCTCTAACAGACCGTTCTCTCCGCATGGCTGTAGCATTGCCTCGCAAGGCACTGGTATTGTACGGCGCTGTCACGGTCTAGCCATGTAGGTGCATGGGAATCGAAGTTCGTCCGTCACTCTGCATCATGTCTGTCGATGCACAAGCGTATGGCCAACCACGTCGGTGTTGCCCTGTTTACCTCCGCCGCAGTTTGCTCAGCGGCCATGCCGCATGTATCGGCGCTCTGGCCTGCTGTCGCCGACCATTTTGTCGCCACATCTTATGCTAGTGAATATACAATAATCAGCTCATTGAATCCTTCGAGTGCTGACCGAGATCTATCATATCCACAATAGGTGCACATGCTTTCGGCGGTGCCTGTTAGCGCCGGAGCCTCTCGGGATCCCATAGAGGGCGACCCCAGCGAAGGAGCGAGTAAGTTGCCATTTCGGGATGGCTTTTTGGACTCGCATTGCGGAGCATTCTTGCGGTCCTAGGATCTATCCTAGGGCGCTGGGTATGTTATATGTAGTGCCTCAGGGTCGAGTCACGAATTATTATACATTATCTGTGAGTTCAAAGTTACGATCCGCCATGGATGATGTGTTGACGGCGCCAAACGAATGTTACAAAGGCGCAGTGAAGTGCCGCATCGTCTTCTCTTTCCTCATATACCACCACCACCTTTGCGTCACCTCCAAGCCTCCTTTCCATTACGACCTTTACGACAATCACTTTCTTACGTTCTATACAGTTATGGCTGCACACAGAGACAGGCGGCCAAGACGTCCTAGTGTCACCTTCGGCAATGATACAGTCTACTTCCTCTCGCCTCGGGACGAGCCGCTATCCGTAGTTTCAAGTCCTCAGTACGCTCCCGCCGAACAATCGCCCCACGCTCAATCCTTTCCTGCGTTCTCACGCATATCTCACCCCGGCGCAGTTCAACGGCACACTGAGGAGATCCCGCGCGCACCCCCTGGCGCTGGAGCATCTGCTCGGCTTGCACACTCCGCAAACCACGCCAGCCAGTACAACACGGGAAGCGCTGATCGGCATGTGCCTAGCGCAGCTAGCCGCTTTGTCGACGAGGGATACCGCAGCCTCGCGGGGCGTGGTTACCTGGATCCAACGCCAACACCCACCAATACGCCGCTGTCGTGTCCGGCACCGTTGTTGCAGAATCGGTCGCTCCCATCGACCCCCTCCGAGACTCCTCTCTCGCGCTCCCCTCACAACTCCCCGCCGGACTCTCCGCATGCTCGGTCTTCGTCGTCGTGGGGAACTCCGTCGCCAGAGCCGGATGGGAATCCGGGGTCGAACTCGGATATCTCTCCCCACCTTCAGAAGCCCACGCTCCGCTGGGATCTTCGAGGCGACAGACTACAATCCCTTGACGTTCGTCCATGGTTCGACGAGCCCGCATTCCTCTCACGACGGACGAGCTGTGAGCTCATCTTCGAGGCTGATGGCAAGCAGTGGAGGATCCAAGTGCCCGAACGCAGACGCGGGCGTCCCGTAACAATCGGGGACGTCCTGTCTACGATCGACGCTCATGTATGGGACAAGCTCGACGTCCATAACTTCCACGTTAACCGCTCGCGCCTCGAATTGGCTGATGCGGAACGGTCGTACCGTTATTTGGGAGCAGAGGATTCTCATTTGAATGTCTTCAGATATGTCGACCTCTTCGCTGAGGAAAAGTCGAACTTCTTGAGACTGGAGGATGCCGACAAGCCAGGCGCATTCCTTGTCGTCATAGGCTCCTCTTCCTCGGCCTAATGTGAGTGCCTTTGTCGTCGATCTAGTCCTTCGCTACGTGCTAACGCCCTGTATGTCTCTTTCAGGCCGCTGCACAGTCATTCTGTTCACGTTCTTTGCTTACTGTAATATAAATGGGTCAGCATGCAGTCCCTGTTCTGTGGACTGACGTATAAGCCAAGACTCATCGCTGTGTGCGACGGACTTGTGTTTCTAGTTTTCTTGTGTCCATAATATCCCACTCCCGACGTATACTCCCATCAGTCTTACTTGTACCACTATTCTCCGGTAATCTGCCATTGTTGCACTGTAGTATTGGACGCTTTGCATACGGTACACAGACCCAGGCGCGCCATTGCCTGAAACACCCTGTATCTCGATGCATGTAACCGTAACCTACCCTCCTTAAGAACCACGCATCTCCACGCTCATCGTCAATCAGGTCGCCGTAGGCAACCAGAACAAGTTAGGATGGACACATCTGCATATTTTCAGTGATAAGGTTGGAAACGTTGCCTCTCGGGATCGAGCGGGTGCCTTGGTCATGGCGACTGTCATTTAGAGAATCGGCGCAGCAATTGATGCTTGAGAATTTTACGCTGTCATGATTATCCAAAATTTACTAGTTGTTTTCCAACCCATCCGCGCAACAAAAGATATCGGTGGGAACGTACGGCAGCCCTGCTCCCTCTTCACGTCTATCGTGCAGGATACTAACGCATTGTTTCCGGATTGTTGCTTGTAGTCCCAAATCTCCGGCTGTCAGTTGTGAGTAACGGGCACTTATATGCAGTCGAGTGATCACCCAACGACGCATATTCTTACTGCGTACTTACTGAAGAGGTAGGATCATGCTCCCGACCGTGACTGCCCTTACTATGTTAGTAAGAAGTCATGTTGTGCAGCTAGCCGACAGCAGTGGAAGAAGGAGCAGCCCCGTCTACTTTCAGGCTCTGCGCTCCCGATCAGATTGTGTTGTGCGCGCATCGGTCGATGCAAAGGGCTAAGTAAATCAGAGGAACGAAGACACGGATCGCCAGTGTGTTCGCCCAACAACAGCTTCGATTTATCAAGTCGTGCGGCGTCCGCAGTACCAAGTAGGGAACCATCACAAGTCATTCTCTTCCCGAGCCGGAAGGAACTATCATGTCCGGCCCAGTAGCACTTCCGTCGGAAGGTCAAAAAAAACGTCAATGCCCATGCGCTGCTGCGGACCTTAGACGCACGCACTGATGCTATACACTTGTGAGCCTGCGAACGTGTGATTCCAGAAAAGCGGTAAACCACATGGGCGGTGGTTTGTGTCTTGGGCGGTGTCATGATTATACAGAGACTTGACATCTGACTCCACTGTGTGAACAAGCCGTTCTTGGGGCCTTTCCAACTAGGAAGCTACCCTACTCACCCAGGAGTATCATCTCAGTCTCACCATGAATTGATGATACGACGACCACTGCGGGCGGCCGCAGTGAAGGCTCTGACCGGGACCATTTCCGGTACTTATGCCGATCAACCGGAAGGGCTTATGTCAGCACTTTTGGACCAGCGCTTGCGTACCTGGTGTGGCTGAATCAACGCTGACAAAAACTAACATCGACCCGATGAGGTCGAAGCACGAACGAACGCAGCTTTTGTGACTGAAGTCCTCCCGGATACGTCTCCCACTATCAGAGCACTTTTGACGGATCTCAACTTCAAACGTTCGGCCTTGCAGTGTATCATCCACAGCACTGTTTCATCAAATGCGTATGTGCTGAGCTCACTGCACAAAATGCGCAACTAATTGCAGCTCACGTCCACGTACCATTCAGGTCTATGTAACGCCCTCACCAAGAGGTAGCCGATGCATCTCGGCTTCTGCCTCCCGTCCCGAAATGTTAGGACAATGCGCCGAAATTGTAGCGGAGAGAACATATTGGACACACCAGCAAAGCCTGCTTACCTCGGTCTATGAACAGTGTATGGCAGATCGTGACAGTGGAGGTATTGGAAGCAGATCATTTGGAGACGTCCTCCCTCCGGCGCAGAGCTTTCCGCCAGCATGGCGATCGACCACAGGCATCACTGTAAACACGGCACGTTTCACTTGATCATCGCAATTCCAGCCGAAGCTCATCACTGCAGCGCGTGAGGGAGGTGTTAACCTAACGATCCTTCCCGAGCATGCTCGGACTCACCTGGCTGTCAGGTGGTTTCCTGAGTTGGGATCCGGTCAGAGAGCAATTGTTGACATGTGCGTGATTGCACATTTCAAACCGCTCACCCACAACTGCAACATACTCATCTAGCAGCCGCCCCGCGTGCTGACTCGTCGAGCGCTGTACCTATACCCGTGCCCAGCTGCGCTCTCTGAGAGTACCCTTGTCTGTTGGACATAGGGATGCGTCTTCCATACGACAACCGCCTCAGCTGCACAGGAAGGCTTGACGACCAACCTAGGGATTTGAGCATAGGCTATCGTTACGACCATGATGGCCATTGAGCATCGCTGCAAGGTTTACTCCTAGGAAACGGCGAAGGCAGCAGACGATCCTACTAGAGGAAGAGTTCGAGAGCAGTCGTCACGCCACTCACCTCCAAGATATTGCCGTGCGCGTGGTCGCAGGAGCGCCGTGAAGGCCGTCGTTTGGGTCGCGGTAACTGCTTGGGTGTGGATGCGCGGGCGAGGCCCTTTTATACGCAACCCAAGGAAGCACTGACTCATCTTGCTTGATCGGCTGCACTGAAGTAGGATTGATGGTAAGGCTCAGGGCTTCTATGGAGCGCTGCGTGGGCTGGCCCGTGCGTATTGTTGCTGCGGGCCTCGTTGCCGCTCCAGTGGCATGGCTATGCTCTTGTCTCTCCTACCATTTGTTGAATTGAGGGCATCGCCTCGAGGCCCAGCAATATAATCTCCCTAGATGGGTCCGATTGACCGGTGCTGCCGTGAAGCAAGTCCTTTTACAAGCTGGACGCCCTATGTCTCGTGCACATGATTCATGTCTCTGTCTGGACGTCATACCTTCAGCCCTGCAGAGTATGGTAAAGGAGAACCACTAGACCCGACTTAAGGTAGCGTTCGGTTGTCACCATGTAATTGTCTCGTATCACACTGGTTCTCCTGCGATCTCCTAGTCCGTCCTCCGTAGAGAGCATTGAACAGACATCCAATTGGTATTGCTACGCTACACTGTGAGCGACGTTCGAGCAGCAAAAGGGTTAACAGGTCCCCGACTGAACAAAGCCCCGGCTTTGTTCAGTGAACAACTGCGTTTCAAGCGTGATGCTCTCGGCATCGTGAAGATTAGAATCGACAAAGACTATTACGAGTACAGTACAGTACATGATACGTTCCAATTATATCCAACTCTTCTATCTCAGCTGTGCATACTGTATACTAGCATAAATTACATGGGTTGACGATCAGATCGTATCGCCTGAAGCATCTCCTCAGCAATAGCACCCCAGTCGTACTGGCTACCATCTCCTAAGCTGCGAGCCTTCTTTAGTCGCTGAATGTCACTCCGGCGCGTCGACCTTGCCTTCGACTTCGGCGCAGTCGTCGAAGGGCCATTGCGCTTGAAGCTCTCAGCAAGACTTTTCACTTCGTCGAAGTTAGAAGTCGACTGCGCCCGCAACCATGACGCACTGTTAGCCCGATGAGCCAGACAGTCAGGAGAAGAGTAGCCAAAAAGACTGCTCTCGCAGTCCAGCCCGTCGTTGTGCACCATAGGCTCTCCGCCCTGCCAAAGTGAGCCTCCTCTCGTCTTCTCCAGCGTCTTCAGGATATCCACGCTCTCTCCTGGAGGAATCGGATTGGGCTGTGATGGGGTGACACAAGGCATGTCGACTTCCTTACGGAGGACGTGGTCGATGTCGACTGCGGAGAAGAAAGCGACGCCCTGAGGAAGGTCGTCCAGCCCAAGTTTGAACGCGAAGAGACTGCGTGTCCAAAGGTTCGCAACCTGAAGAGCGAGGGCGGCGCGGTAACGATCCTCCTCCTTGACGAGATAGCGCAGTTCGTCGTGAACGGAGATGAGATAGCGGGCCTGGATGTTGTACTTCGCGATGAGATGCTCCATGGAAACGATGAGGAGGTGAAGGTAGTCAACGCCTGAGGACTGCACCACCCAATTGATTCGGGACGTCATGAAGTCAGAGCCGAACTCGTCGGGGAGCAGGCTCTTTGAGAGCGCGTGCGTGATCCCGCAACCGAGGGCGGGAGTCCGCGGACGATCCGAAAGCGCAATCTCTTCGAGCTTGTTGAAGACGAAACTCTCCGTCCCGCCGTACCAGAACTTGCGGTCGAAGTAGCGAGTCCCATATGACTTCTGTCCCTTCGTTGAGGCGTAGAGGTTTCTCGCAAGCTCCTCAGCCTTCTCAGGGAGCATGCCCGCGTTCCCTTGCAGAAGAAGCAGTACTGCGTGTCGCATACCCGCGCCGTAGATACGGGAGTAGTTGAAAACCTTCGCTTGATCGCGGGAGATCCCAAGGATGCTTGCGGTCTTCGAGTGCAGGTCAGTGCCAGCGGCCTTGGTGCCCTCAAGCGTCATCCATCCGAGCGCGGTCGCGCCGTGCAAGCCGAACTGTGCGTCGCCCATGACGCTCGAAATCCAAAGCTCCTCCGAATCGACGTCGGCCCCGACGATCGCGTATCCAGGAGGCGCGCGAACCATCGCCTTGAGCTCGGACCCAATGCGGTTCTGCTTCGCGTTGCTTGCGGTGAGCCACGTTTTCTCGATCGCACGGCGCGTGACCGTGCCCATGGTGATGACCTGGGGGAGGATGATGCCCCACTTCCTCTCGGGCTCCACGGGACGTGGTACACCAATGTCGAGATTGTCGGCCTGCCAGACGACCATCTGCTTCGTGACGCGGTCGCGCGAGGAGATCCAGTAGCTGCACTGCGCATTCATGTCGAGCGCGTCCTTGGCTTCTTCGAACGGACTCGCGAGCGTCCCGTCTTGCGCGTACTTCATGAACGTCTTTCCGAGCGGACTGCCGACGTTCGCATCCTCTCCGTCCTTGTGCGGCAGCTTGTAGAAGTTGAAGTGGGCTGTCAGGTTGTGCAGTTGGGGGTCGACGTTATCGTCGAAGGCAAGTGGACTGGCGCGGGTCTCGAATGGCTCCTTTATGGGCACGCGGAATGTCCAACCGTGCCCTCGAGAGTAGAACAACGGCCACCCTTGCCAGGAGAGTCGAAGTAGAAGGGGAGCGTAACGGTTGCGGACGGTCAGATCCAGCGTCCCAGGGGGGCAATCCTTCTTCGGTTTCGCGAGCTCCCAGTACCACCTCGGCCAGTACACAGGGGTTGGCTTGAGTGAGGTAGGTTTACGCTTGGGCCTCTTTGGAGAATCCGGTATCGACCAATCGAGCTGCTGTAGCCAAGGATCCGTCTCTACACGAGCCGGGCAAGTTTGCAAGGCCGCCTTCGCTAGACGAAGGAGCCCATCCTTGACGTCGTCGGTCCTCCAACCCTTGCAGATATTCTTCGCCAGCTCCCTGTCGATAGACTGAAGCTTTCCCGCGGCCAAAGCAGGAAGCCCATGAGACGGACCGAGGATAGAGACGACCTTGCCACTACCCGCCGACAATCTGATCACCTCTCCACCCATCAGGTAATGCCACCCATCCTTCGACGACCACTGTAGAGGGTAGCCGTCGTATGAGAGTCGCAGAAGAAGGGGCAATATTCGCCTGACGACCGTGGTGTCGAAAGGATCGACTGTAAAATCTCGGTACCAGGAAGGAGCGTCAGCGTCAACAGCGATTGGCTCTGGCGGCGGTTGGGGTGGTCCTGCAGCGGGTTCGGTGGGTGAAACCTATTGACGCGTCAGTGGATACATGTAAGATGCCCCCTTAAAAACGAACCTCGGAGGTGCCGACGCCTCGCGATTTCCCGGCGACCTTTGGAGACCAATCTAACTGTGCCAGCCAGACGTCTTCTTTCCACTTCCCGTTCTCCATCATGGTTTTTGCCTGCTGCGCCAGTTCGATCAGACGCTTCTTGATCCTGTCCTCCAACTCTTTGTAGGCACGCTCCGCGTTGGCGAGGTAGGCCTCCCACTCCTCGTTGACCGTGAGCAGACTAGAGCCCATAGTGAGGATGCCAGCGAAGGAGACTGGGCTGGGACACGCGGCGAGGAACGCTGTTAGGGTCTTAGCGAACACGGCATGCGTTACCTCCACGTCGGTCGCGTTGTAGTCCAGATACGTGTGGATGTCTTCAAGAATGGCCTCGCGAGTCTCGGATAGGAAATCATCCCGAGCCCCCTTGTCCACTTCGATGCCGCAGTGAAGCTTTGCGACGTCGGCGAGCGAGCTGAGTGATGTCTTGTCCTCCCAGCGCTCGGAGACGTCCTCTGATTGCTCGATCTCACCCGTCTCGACGGCACCACGTAGCATAGGAAGACTCTCCTCCATCTCATTGTAGAGGTTCTGCAGGTGCGCCTTGCGGTCTGGGTCTGTCTCGCGCTCAATCTCCGCCTCTCCCTTCGCCAGCATGAACTCGAACGCCTCGTACGCCTCCCGCGTCTGCTCCTCTTCCCGCGCCTTCGACTTTCGGTACTTCTGCCACGCCGGCCGCTGGTGCGACGAGATGCCCTTCACCGCGACGTGCAGCGACATCGTGTCCAAAAAGCGCGTCTGCGTCGGCTGGATGTTGTACTCCTCCAGGACGCGCTTGCGGTCGAACGAGACGTTGTGTCCAGCGACGACTCGGGGGACGCTCGGGTCCCCCATGGGGATGAGGTGCTGCGGGTCCTCGGACTCGCCCAGCAGCCAGGGGGATATCCACGCGTACCACGCGTTCGGCGTCGCCGCGCACGCCATGACGGCATAGTCATGATAACGGGGCATGGTCTCGATGTCGAACACGAGCATCTCCTCCGGCTTGCCGTCGAACTGCGGGTACTCGACGTGCTCGCAGTAGCTCGACCCGTCAGGGAGGAACGTGTAGCGCGTCCACCCCGACTGGATGTGCCAGTGGTCCGGCTTGGGGGGGATCCGCGCGGCGGCGAGGTCCTGCACGAGGGTGAGCCAGGGCTGCGCGGCGGAGGTGCCGATGCGGTAGAAGTGCTCGTCGAGGGTCCGGCCTTGGAGCGGGGGAAGGGTGAACCCGACGTTGGGGAGGACGGAGCCTTGCGCGGGGTCGAGGCCGTGCATTTTGAGGTGTTCCTGCGCGATGCGGACGTAGGACGCGGGGGGTGGGGGGAAGGAGACGTTGCGGAAGACTTGGCGGTGGAGCTGGCGCGAGAGCAGCTGGACGCCGACTTCGTTCCGCTTGGGACCTGACGTGGTGAATAGATTGAGTATATCGAACGGAAATTGTTTGACTGTGCTCCGCGCATAATAGCGGGAGGTACAGACAGGGGGGACGCAAGTCTAAACGAAGGGGGAGGTCACATACCTTGCTCGGCGAGTCCTTGCCGTAGCTCATCATCCCGTAGTTCCTCTGAGCGTTTTTGAGGACTTTTCCGTGCTGGAGGCTTCGCCTGGAGAGGCTTGCGCTGAAGCACAGCGAGAGGGGCGGAAACATGAATTGATCGAGAGACAGGTGTCGATGATGATGACTGGAGTTTTCGCCACATCTGTGTCGGGCGAGCATCCGTTTCGGCACTGAACAGCAGATGGTAATTGAAGTACTTCCTACGACTTCATGTGCGCGCGGCACTCTGACGAAAAGAGGGAAGGGGGAAAGACTCCGAAGGAGACAGCGAGCAAACCTGGGCTGACTGCAGATGGGCGCTTCAGACTTGCGAATGAGCGTTCGCTAGTAGTAGTACAGCGCTGGCGGGTATTACTTGCTAGCATAACCGCCACCCCCCTCCTCTCATTCAAACCCAACCATGGTCCTGCATCTGCATCCAGAAAGACAAGACTGACCTTGCGCTAGGGACACTCTCCACGCCCCTTAAACCGGTCTTTGGTTTCCATACAGTGATTACCAACTGGGTTCACAATATAGCAAGAACTAGCGGACAAGCTACGTCCCTTGTACGAGCTGCGACCAAACGATGCTGCCGGGGGCCGTCACGTCTTTGGGCAGTCTAGAAGGGTCGTCCGAAAACGCGCCGACGTCTGCCGGCGCGCTGTGTGGGCGACCATGGGGGGATTCGGAGCCCAGCCATTGATCATCGGCGGGACCCCGCAGCCCGCCGCTGCCATTCCGGGTATGCCGACGTCAAGGTGGCGGTCTAGTCGTAACGCTAGTACAATCCATTTCCCCACGTTCGAGCGGAGATGCACACGAGGACAGGGCGAAGGGCGGGGAAATGCCATAACGGGCATGTTCGGTACGGCGCCATCTGTCCCAGATAGGCAGGTCTTGAAAGTCGGTGTTCGCGCACTTTCCCATTTTGGCTAACAGAGGATTGGCGCCGGCGCCTCATGACCTCATTTGGGCTTCTCCATCACGGTTCCGCTGATATGACTCGACTCCCGACGCCCGACGGGGCGGGAAGAGCGCGAACGCGTCGGGGCGCAAACGAGGTGTACAAACACGGCCGCGAGTCATTTAAAGTCACGCATGCCGACCGACATGGATCCCCCAACCCGACCGCCGCCCGCCCTCCCCGCCTCAGACCGACGCCCTCCGTGTCCCCCTCCGCCTCAATCCAGTCTTGCGTCCTTCCTACCTAGCCTAATTCACTTCTGTGTGACTCGATAATTGTGGGAATGTATCTGAACACGCCTACCTCAAGTTACAGCCCACGGGCGGATGCTTCGCAGCCCCTGTCGACGCCGACTCGTGCACCCCGTATGGGAACCCGCGGCCTACCTCCGTCCCCGCACGCTCCGGCCAGCCCAATGACGCCGTTCCCCGGAGCCTACGCTCCGTACGCGATGCCGTACCAGGCCGGAGGACACACGGTTGCATGTACGTACGGCGTGACTCTCGTGCATTTCTTTATTGTGCGACGAATTCGGAGTTTGGGATGGCTGTACTGAGCTTGGTATCTCTTCTCCGCAGATGGTCTGATGACCCCGCCAGAAAGCCCCGAAAAGCCCTCTGGTCGTGGGCTCGACTTTCATCACGCCCTGGACGCGCGCAGCTCGCACCTGATGGCGTTCGACCTGCGGCAGGGGATGTTCTTCGGCTCTGAACAGCTGGGGACGCAAGCAGTGAATCATCCCGTGCGGATCCTCCGTGTTAGCATCGGACCCCTCTGCGTCGACATTACGAACGAGCGGGGCATGGTTCCGACGGTGCAAGATGTCGCCTACGGCCTAGCGAGGGCTCTGAGGATGTCCGAAGCAACACCGCAAGAGGTAGCTGTCGCGGTTTCGATGGGCTTTGTCCACCCCAGCACGCCGGTGAGGGGCACCGAACGTGCAAGACTCCTTGATGCGAGACCCTTCTTTGGTGGCTTCACACTGAGAACGGTGCAGCATGACGTCGCCATCGTCGACTGCCATCTGCGTGCTCGTGTGTGAGCTGTGCATATGCACGTTGAGCCGTCAAGACTATACACAAACCGCTCCCGCGCAGGCCCATATCACCAGGCTTTCATAACAAATCACAAGCTCCCTCGATGTGCTCGCTTCGGGGCATCCGACGAACGTTCAGGTAATATGATCGAGACTCCAGCTTTTCCAGACGCTTGTCTCAGTCCTTGGCTCTATGGACAAAACTCTGCCTGTCCTGGCGACAGGGAAACTTACAAGTTACTTGCACCTGCTCTCTGTCTCTCCCGCGCCGGGCGCGGTGATGCGCACGCACGAAACTGGACACGAATATGAACTTGTCAGACAACGGACTGTAACATTATCTTTAGAATTACTGGCTCTGCAGTCTTGGTAGTAGTAGTTACAGTAGTATAACTTATCCTCTCCGCTCGGCACTCAAATGTTGTACTCGCTATCCGACCGTCTATGTCCCCACACTCACAACACGATCGCACCTCTCCACTCAGCTGTTCCCCCTCCCGCTGTCCCTCCTCTCTCCCTGCTAACCGCTGCTCTCCAATGTCCTCCCTTGGTCTCTTAGCCTCCGTCGTCATTGTCTAGTCGGATTTCTACGGCAATATAACCCCATCCTCATCTCTAAACGCCTAGCCAATTTTCCCCGATTGGGCGTCGGAACGGTGATTGTATAAGCGGAAGCGCGCTTGATCTTCTACGTATATCCATCCAGCTCCTCTACCGCTGATCAGACTCAACGTAGCCTTCTCACTGTTTCTAACATTCCTCGCTTCCGAATGCACTGCCGGGGGAGCACATCGTGACGGAAAGAGAATACAAATCCTTCTTCACCTCGTCACCCCCCCGTCGTTATAACCAGCCGACGCGTCCAACATGGACACCCACTTTCAAGACTACCCCCACTCACACTGCTAACTCACATCAAGCTTGCTTGCATACATCTATTTCACGAAAATGACGGTCCTCAGCAAGGCTACCGTGGCTGCTCTCTTCCTGCTCCTGGCATCTGACGCCTTTGGTAAACTCGATCCGCAACTGACGGCACACTCCAAGTCTCTCGGCGGTCTGGATCTCTCGAAAGCGCAAGTTGGCTCTCTGACTAACGCGATGAGTGCTGGGAGCCTTAAGAAGGTCGGCAATCGGGACACGACTATGGCTACGAAATCGATCGGGAAGAACAGACTTGGCGCCCCGGTGAAGAAACGTTCCCCGTCTCCGGTCCGGCGGGACGACCTCGATACCGCCCCCACACCTGCACCTACTGGCCCCTCTACCGACGACACTACTGTGCATATCACGGATGAAAATGACTTCGCGTTGCTTCTGCCTGGCCGGGATGGCGGTGAGTCGAATGATGCACGCATCTAGCTCCTATCACTAAGCATTCACGCATGGGCATGTCTGCAACGCGCTTTCTTGTATGCAGAGCTCATATCGGATGCCGAGAGCGACGGTGTCGCATTTTGCACCCCGGCTAGCGGGGATGCGACCTGCCAAAGACGCATGTCAGATGGCTTCATCAGTGCGGCGCATGTCGAAAGGTCGGGAGACTCGAAGTGGATTCAGGTCAGTCATTTGTTCGCACTATTCGAGTCTTCCACACAGCCATTGGCGTCAAATGCGCGACTGTTTTGTGAACATGGCGGTGAGAAACTCTCTTTGCGAGAGCATGTCATCACCCGCGCTGTTTGGTGTCGGCTTGCACCAGTCACGGTTAACGTGAAGAGAGCTTTGCGCTTGTATGCGGAGAGCTACATTCTGTCGGCCATACCTGAGCGTGCTTGAAACGGACACAAGTCTCGGATGTATTTTTGTGTCCTATTACGTATCGCACTGTTCAAGGTAGATGAAGCAGGCGGCGTAGCGGGTCTGTCTGTACCTAGGGTACGGGTAGTATCCGGGCTTCTTGGAAGGAAGTACACCGCCTTGGGACAGCCGTCTGCGGTAGGCAAATCAACCCAATTCGGTACATTGCATTTCATGTGCGCGTGGGTCAACTGCACATCTTCGTTAGAAGACACCTCTGAGCGGTCGCTACGGTGTTATGTGTTCGGATCGCAAGGTGTCTCAGCCCTTGGGGCTAAGGCCGCAAGGATCGTGATGAGCGCGGATCCTTGAGAACGCTTCGCCTCCTGGATCTACATGACACCCCTGCCGCACGCATCAGAATTGGGGTATTGGAGCAGCGAGTAGTTCCCAGCTGTCCCTTGAAGCCTAGACACTCTAAGCGCTATTGAGCGACTCCCCGATCTGATACTACTCGTATTTGAGAGGTAGGCACTGCTTGCCGCAGTCCTTGTCATCAACGCCTTTGAGATGCACTTCTGTTGCATGCTTACTCTGTGATGCGTTACAGATAACGGGATGTTTGGACGTCAGCAAATCACATCTCGACGACTCCGATTCAGGGGGACAGTTCGATGTCCGCTTTCCAAATGGTGCGAAATGCACTTTCGGCGGGTACGGCGCGAGCTTCATCGAGATGTACGTCCACATTCCATACTTCCAAGGTCCGGACTCACTCTGCATCCTCCTCAATTTTTGCGCGACATACCCTGCCTTCGCCCGCAAAACATATTCCGTAATCGGTCTCCACACCTCTCGACGCTCTCGTCTATGCGGCTTCTTTCCCGTATGCGATCATTAATGTTGCCCCACACGTGCTCTCCCAATTTCGGTCGATCCGGCTCGAATGCCTTCTCTAACCATCGTCGATGACATCCTGGGATCCCCCACGCCTTTACGACGTATCTCATCCGCGTGGAAACTGACATTTTCAACGGTTTGCCGCTGGTGACATCCTCCTTCAACGACGCTACGTCATACAGTGTCGAGCCCGCAGCAAATCGCTTCTGTCTCCGGTGCTGCAGCTCAGAGAACGACCAGGAGAACTGCAACTCGAGGCAAGACACGGCGGGCTGTCCGACAGCAATCCCTGGAACATACAGCTTCCCCGATCTTGGTGTCAGCTGCGAGTGAAGGACTCGGCTAGGGCGGGCGATAGCGCTGGACGCTAATGCCGCCCCATGTAAGCCCACGCATTGGAGAGGGGCTAGACCCACGTCCCCCTCCGGGCCCGCTCGCGTAGGTATCGTGGTTACGAATTAGCCAGGTCGGGGGTAGGGCGGTTATGTCCGGGCACGGATGGCGAATGATCATTGGTGTGGTACTCGTTGGCCGGATCTTCTGGATTCCACGGGATGGTCGCGAACTCCTCGACCAGTCTCGTGAACGATATTGCGTCATGAACGCAGGATCAGAAATGCCTGCGCTTGTCCTTGTTTTCTGTTATTACGACATGCGACGTCGTGCGTAGATGGTCCCTGGTCTAACGCAGGGCATTTGGCAGCTCGGTATGAGGTCGGTCTGGGCGAGTGTATTGTCGTTGGCACCCTCGAATTGTATCATACGCGACAACGTGGATCAACACCCCCGGTGTGTCAGCACCAGCCCCGGGTGCGGCCGTTGTGCTGGCCAATGGGACACCGCTACATACTTACACCCGCTCGATCGGACCCCGCGAAGCCCCAAACCCACTTACATGTCTACTTCGGCCCTTATCAACTAGTTGCCGACTTGGTGCAGGCCTTGTGGGGTATGTGTTGTGCGGGGTAAATCATGATGCATATTCGCGATAACAAAGTCGTAAGGTTACTACCAGTCGAATGCGGGCGGCGTAATACTGAGCAAATCAATGCCACGGTGTATGTTACAACGTCCACGTCGTGAGGTCAATGGGATGCGTGCTATAATGTACAGATGCGTCATAATGATCATCGAGTCGTAGCAATCATCACAAAATGCAAGTCGTAAGAATAGATGCAACGACGAGGGAAGTGGGATTTGAGCGGGGAGTATGAAACAGAGCGATAAGACGACAGCGAGACCGAGAGCAGACGGAGAGGAAAATGCAGAGCCGGTATCAAACCAGCGGCATCAGTGCGGGATAGCAGCCTCGCAATCGTGCACAAGAATACATTCATATCAGAAACCCAAAAGAATCGCAAAAGTCCCATATATCATCTGCCTCCTCCGCGCCCGCACGTGCGTGCATGTCTGTGGGATCGCAAGGCGAAGGAGGTGGGCAAAGGAGTGAAGTTGGCAGCCGCGCCGATGGCTTGCAGCAGCCGCTGATAGCGCGACGGCAGCCAGCCACGACGCCGCTTGCGGTCACGTCGGAGTCATAGCGAGAGCCCGCGCAAGCCTGTGCTTGCGGATACAGCTCCCGTCGCGGACCCCAGTATTCAGAACCCAATTATAGCGCGTTGAATCCAAGGACCAGCCAGAGCAACTGCGCGAACGTGGGATCGAATACCTCGGGGTGAATGCAGGTGCGCGGGAGGGAGAAAGCCAAGCCTTCTCAGCGGCTCAGACGCTTCACCCGCGCCCGAAGACGAGCTTGCCCGCGCCGCCATGGCCGGCGGCCTTGTCGACCTCGACGCCGATCAGCCACGTCTTCTCCCCGAGCCAGTCGATCCGGCGCACGCCGCCCTCCCAGCCACCGCCCATGCGCGTGCAGCGGCGCTGGTACGCGGCGGTCACCTTCTGCTGCGCCTTGCTGCCGTGCCCGAGCGCCTCCCACTCCTCAGGCGTGATGGGCACCATGAGCGTGTTGTGCACCGCGTAGAGCACGTCGAGGTTCGTGATCGTGGCGCCGCCGTCAGCCGTGCTCGGGCGGGACCCGTGCCCGTTGCTCGAGGGCGGGCCCACAGTGAAGCGTGCGCGCCCCGAGGACGGGGCTGGGGTCGAGGACGAGTGCGAGGCGGTGACGATCACCGGCCACGGGAACTTGTGCGAGCGGAGGACGAGGCGCGCCCCGGCGGGCGTCGGGGGGTCCGTCGCGGGCTGGGAGAGCGTGTGGGCGGGGATCGCCGAGTGCGTCGCACGGTCGAGGACGGTGCGCGCGGAGGGCGTGAAGGAGATGTCGTACGTGATCGGCGCGCGGTGCAGGCGCGTGTGCGCGAGCAGCGGGTGCATGTGCAGCGTCGTGCTGCGCGTCTGCTGCAGGAGCGACGTCTGCGAGTTCGAGCGGCCGCGCGAGCCGTCTGTGAAGGGAGCGTTCGGGGTCAGTCGGATCGGCAGGGGCTGTGTGCAGGATCAGTGAGAGAGGAGTGCTTACAGGAGGACGAGCTGCCTGCAGTGCCCGAGGGGTGCCAGGTGTGATTCGAGCGCAGAGGGGGGCGCGAGCCGGGGAAGTGGCCTGCCTCCGAGCTGGGGGTCCGTGGAAGGGACCCAGGCGTGCCCGGGTAGAGCGAAGAACTCGAGTTCGATCGTGAGCTCGGCGGCGTCGCGTAAGACATAGAAGGCGTGTATAGCGCGGCGCGGGCTGCGGGGAGCACATAATGCGACACAAGGCATTTACGCAATACGCGGATCGGTTAGCGGTTGCCGAGCGGCGGAGGGCAATGCCACTTACGGGTCTCTGGCGTCTTGTAGCTGGCACTCCGCGCGGGGTGAGGACGCATCTCGGGACGAGGCTTGGTCGCTGGTGGAGCCCTGCCGTAGCCGTAGGCGGTTCGTGTGTCTGTTGTCGTAGCATACCGGAGGGGCGAGGGGGCGTTCGAGCGTGCGGAGTGACTGTAGCTCCTGCTCATGCCTGGAACTGCCCCTGCAGCAGCGGCAGAAGCCATCCCAGCCGGGGGAGCACCCGTATAGATAGGCGGAGGGGGCTGAGAGTGTGACCTCGTGTGCGAGGACTTGGAGCTATTGCCACCAAAGAGGCTACGGAAATACGAAGGCATGTTGAACTTTCGGGAGAAGTAGTCGTTGAAGTTGGGTTGCTGCGTAAGCCGGAGCGGCGTGCTATAAGACAAGTTGCGTTTCGGCGGTAGTAGTGCCTGAGGAGTACACAATAATACACAGCGTGGAAGGCGGGTGACGTGCGAAGGTGGCGACGGTCACTTCGTGGACTAGAGACAAGGAAGACAAGGGACCAACGTACGGCCCAGCTACGGTGCTTGGGGGACGGCGGGTGGTTGCGAGGACGAACGTCGGGTACTTATACTTGTTGCGCAAGGACGATTGTGGCAGGACCGAGGAAGAGGCGTTCTAGCGACCGGGATCTGGACTTTGGGCTTCCGCGAGCGATGATCAAAGGAACGGCCGCAAATATTCACGTCACGATCGTGCGCGCCTGCTCAAGGTCAGATCAGTGTTCGATGCCGACAGCGTATCAGACGCAAGAGGAGCATAATTGCCGCGCAGTCGCACCGCCAGATCCCATCCGCGTCTGTGCATCGAGTCCCAGGACCGGGGACAGCAGCATGTACGCCGCGAGCGCCGGTTCTCTGCTGGCAGTGACTTCGCGTGCCCCTCGCGTATACAGATAATAGGCATTCTAGAGCGTTGGGAGGCCGCAGCGTGGCGGACAAGGCGCGGACACAGAGCGTCCTGGAAATGGCCTTTCGAGCCCTTTGGGAGCAAACGGTGAGGTAAACGAGACGAGCCACAACCGGCCTTTCGCACCTGCTCCTTTCCCGCGCGCCCGAGGCCTCGAATCACGGATTCACAGAAACTCCATCCCCTGCCTCGTGTTCGCCGCATGGTCGCCATTTCGGGGCAGGCGCACCAAGCGCCTTTCCCATATCCGGGTCTCCCGAGCCAAGCGGCGGCGCTCGCCGCAATGTGCCCCGAAGCTGCAATAATATTTTACGCATTTTGCAGCCAATACCCCACAATCTAGCCGCGCCACCCGTACTGCATTGCCCCGGCCGTGACCAGCTCAGCATGGCAACCTTGTGGCCAGATAACGGGCGCAGTATGCGGCGTGAGCAGTGAAGTTGGTATTGGTAAGGCAGGAAGAGAAGGACTAGGGAAAGGGGAAGCCAGCGATCTGCGCAGGCCGCCTTCTAGCAACTGTCGCACGCCTGCGTTGGCCCTGAGCGAAATGAGCCCGGCTCACGACGCACTGGCAATTGCTTCTTGCTTAATGGCACGAAGCGAAGGAGCTGGGAAGTGAATGTGGGAGATGTAACTGGCCTGGGAACCCCGGACTTTGAACCCAGAGAGGCGCCACGACACCATCGGACGTATGCGCTCTTCGCCGAGTGGTGCGTCGGATGCACCTGCAACTGAGTGACTGCATAAGAGTAATGGGCTCCACTTGGTCTAGGCCACACGTACCAGGCAGAACCCTCGAATGAGCGAGCGAAGAACCGGGCACGCTTGCAACGAGATGCGAGATTTGGATGCCGTACTTAGGCGAGATCTCAGCGCTCAGCACCCCCGTCCCGCCGGCGCGCGTAAGCCCGCGAACCCCTGGTTAGCGCGGGTCCCTGGTGTGGCCACACCTCACTGGCCCTGGACACTGTCCAAAGCTCTCGGGGACAGATAGCAAGACGACTAGCTGAGCTGCTCAGATAACACGCGTGCTCGGCTGCAGCCTTACAGGAACGCGAACGGCTCGAGAGGCACACATACTCACGTATGGGTGCCTTCCTCAAACTAGCCGTGGCCGCGACTACACGCGCTTCCGCCCGCCCATCGAACCCCCTCGATGCATCATCGAAGCACGCCCTCGGTTCGAAGGCGGGATACGCGGTGTACCACGTACGTTATAGCGACGCGAAGGAGGGGCTAGACCTCCGGGGCCGTGGGGGAGGCGGCGTGGCGACGATAAGTAGCGCGCCCAACGACGTCGAGGCCCAGACGCATGTCGGATTGCAAACTGCATTGCCAAACGGCCGCCAGCACAGAGCGATCGCGACGAGTACGGCAAGGGCGCCCCTCCCGTCGTGTCGGAGATGGCCTCATTGCGGGATACGCACATGCCTGCAACTTCCGCATCGGGCGGCTGGCCACAGATACGCCACAAATGCCACAATGCACAATGCCCACCATAGCTCGAAGATGGCAGGGAGGATTCAGAAAGAAGACTGGCTGGGACGGGACTAGTGGTGACTAGTGTTGCTGGCCGGCAGAACCTTGTACGACGTGCCATCGAGGCGGAACGCACACGAACACGTACGCGTCCTGGGGCGCCGGCGCTAGAAGCGCAACCGTGCGTTCGCACATTGGCGGATAGCTGCAAGAGCCAGCGCAAACATGCAACACGCAACACTAAGCGCGCGTATTGGGGATGGAGATTGGGATGGGGGATGGGACGCATACACAGCACATATGATGATAACTCGGGTCCTGGATAGACGGATTCGACAGAGCAGGCGAGATGGGAGCTCGAGATGGCGCAGATTGGTATGCGATGTGGCCACAGTAGCAGGAGGGTGAATGGAGGTTCGAAAAGGCCACGCTGCAGCGAGCGGACTCCGCAACCTGCACGGAACTGAATGATTACGACACCGTCCGACGTCGGACGACTCCGATAGAAGACGGGGGTTCGCAGCATCACAGCTGGGAGAACGACAGAACGAGAGGAAGGACAGCCGCAAGGGCTTCTGCACGTGCGGAGTGCTTCCAGCGTCCGGAAGATAACGACGTCGCAGGTGCAGGCATACATACTGTGCAGCAGCACCTCGCAGCTGAGAGAAAAATAGACACACCTTGACGGCTCGAGTCCGTTCTTGCCAGATTGCGTTTCGGCCACACCATCAGAGATTAGAAGGGCACGTTGCGGTTTCGCCGTGTATGGGCCTCGACGATCGTCTCAGCGTACTCCGCTGCTGGGAGCCTATTGCCATTTCCGCGGACCTCGACCGTTGGTAACCGAGCAAATCCCATCTCCCTGTCTCTGTCCCCCGGCTTCGTTGAATGCGACCTGGGATGATACCGCTGACGCCAACTAGTCGGGCGCTGGCATATGTCATACTCGTGTCAAAGCCCCATACTCTGAAGCGTATAGCCTGCTGATTCGGGTTGCAGACGATCTGGATGGGAAGGATTGGGATTTCAGGTTGCAGAGTCGTGGTACGTTCTCATTGGCAGCCACGGGCGGGAAAGGGAGTGCGTACCTGTCCCCTTGATCATAGTTCACGTTCGTGATTTCGTGGGCATGCGTGCCCTGCACACAAGTACCGCAGTTGGGATAATAGACAACAGAGAACAGACTATCGTGCCCACCGCCGTGAGCCCGGCAACGACACGGAGATCGAGGGTCGGATGAGCGAAAGACATCGGTGCGCCCGTGCTCGTTGGTCGCCGGTGGGCAGAGGGCGCGACGCAGGAAGAAGACAGACGCGGCATGCTGTTCTCCTGTCCGCATCACCTGCGTCTGGATGCTATCCATTCCCGCACGGGGTGCTATCAGAACGAAGCACGAGAATAATTAACCGAGCAGGCCGCACACACCGTCGTGCCCTCGCGGTCGAGAACGCGAGTACTCACGTCTTTGTCACGCGCCTGCCTCTCGAGTCTCGTTTAATTGTGGCCGGTGGGCTTCGCCTGCTGCGAGCTAGGGGCGTGTATTCGGACTCGAACTTGAACCAAACCTTGGATCAATCGTTGACCCTGTAAGCTTGTGGCTTGGAGGTGAGCACCCCAGAACGCTAACTGCTAGCACGCTGAATTCAGGTCCAGCTGGGGGATCGGAGGTTCTACTGTGCTCAGTACGTCACCCATAGTCCCATGGCGCAAGGCGAGAAGGACCCGGCCACATACCGTCCGGAGTGCGAGGATACAATGCGGGCCATTCCATTGCCGTCTGCGCAAGGCGTGTCACCCTAGTAGGCTGTTGGAGTGCCGTTTGGGACTAGGCAGTCACGCTATACTGTAGCCACAGGTAGTTTGCGGACGCGCTCGTTTCGCCTCTGGATGGGATCGTCGCGTGTCAGTTCTTGACGGAACATCCAGGACGCCATTAACTCACTCGATCCGGGCGCATATAGCGGGTGTACACCCCAGAATACAGCGTGGTTTCTCAGATGCAGATGCAGGGATGGCGTAGGAGGATTCCGGATGCAAAGACCGAGAAGACGAACTGCATGGCATGAGGTTGGCCGCTCTGTCCCGCTCCCCTGCGCTCAGAGCGAAGCATGATATCTCGAACCGCATTGCGTGGTACTTAGACGCACGGATATAAGCGAGTGGGACTTACGACATGACGAAGAACACGGAGCACCGAGAGCGCCAATTATCAAGGCTATCGGATGCGCACGACAATCAAGCGTCCGAGGCTTAACAAAGGCGGTGTGTATTTGGCCATGCTCTCTCGTTATTCTCTTATCCCTCACGCTCTCTCCCCTCGACCCAGGAACACCGCGATTCTGTAAAGGACGCGAACAGGTTATCAGGTGTGGTGTCGCGCGCGTATGGAACTGAATGGACTGACCTGATCTCGTAACCGCGATCGCAGCGATTTGCTGAATATATGCGCGTGCGCATCACACGGTCACACCGAGAACATGGCGGGCAGCGATGGATGGCACCCTCCGCGCCCGCTCGCGTCGTGGTGTGCGATGTGGAGGCGGATGCGGCGAAGAGACGCCTGTTCGGGATGTGGATGGGTGGGCCGGCAAGGGCCGAGCGGGGCGGATGCGCTGGGCTCAAGGCGAGACAGGGCCTCGGCTGGGCCATGTCTGGACGACGACTCCCAAGCTTGTCTCTCCTCACAGTCTGTGTCCGCCGACGCCCCTTCTGTCTCTCTCCTTCTCAGGTACGTCGGCCAGACCTCTGGTTACTTGTCGCATCCTCCTAAAGCCCGACTAGAGGAATGGGCTTGTCTACTATCCGCGACGTTATCGGCGAACTCAACCGTCAGGCCGCTGAGCACCAATACCATCGTCTGCTTCTCATCAAACAGATCACTACAGACCCCTCGTACCAGGCGAGTCCGCTTCTGCACACCTCCCATTCCTCCAAGTGCCAATCGTGACCAGTTCCTGCCTCTTCTCCAGCGCGAAGTCAAGCGATTCCAGGAGAACTATGGCCGGGACTCGTTTCAGTATGGATCCGATGGTTGGCGCGTTCTCGTCCACCCTTCGGCCGACGTGGATGGCCCGCACTTCAGCCCTGCCGTGAGCTCGCTCATGAACCAGGTCCACATGAACGAGGCGACGCTGTCTTGCATTCGCGCACGCATAGATGCCCTCTCGACATTCCTCATCCCCGTCTTGCGCCTCCCTCGCGAGGTACTTGAGCTGATTTTCAAAGTGGGGAGCCGCATGCCGCAGGACGATCCCATCCTAGGATCATCAATACCTCGCCCGTTTCCGCTCGTCGTCGCCGCTGTCTCCCGCCAATGGCGCGAAATCGCGCTCAACACCCCCGATCTCTGGACAAACATCGTAATCAAACATCCACGGCCGTTCGGGTGGATTCCGCTTTGTCTCCAGCGCTCCTGCGGCCAGCCCATAGACATAACCATAGACACGCGCTCAACCCCTCTCCTCAACACTACGGCAGTCGACCAGCTTATAGCCCGATTCCTCCCACATATCCAACGATGGCGTCGATTCGCGCTCACAACTTCCGACCCAGCTACAATTTACGCCGTCGGTGGCCGCCTTGCCAACGCCAGCGCTCCCATGCTCCGCCACCTACAGCTCTCCCTCTCCGGGTCTTCGGGGAACCAGGAGGTCCTCCTTCACGAGATCCTCCAGGGCGGCGCCGACGCTCTCACTTCCGTCCGCTTCGACTCGCTCTCCACCCCATGGTCCGCGCCGCCCCTCCATAACCTCGTCGCACTCGACCTCCGCTGGCTCTGGCACCAAACCAGGCTCCAGTACGAGCAGTTCCGGAGTGTTATTGCCGCGTCGCCCAACATTCGTGCGCTCATCCTCCGGGGGACATACATCCACCTTCACGCCGGTCGGGCGTACCCGCCGCTCCACATCCCCACGCTCCGCTACCTCGAGCTCTCCGGCGACACCGTATGCAGGATGTCGTCCCTGCTTGAGACCCCGAACCTCCAGGAGCTCACGCTCGCCAATCTCGATGAGACCGAGTTCCGCGAGTTTGTCGCTTCGCTTCCCCTCCCCACCGACACCTCCGCAGCAGCTTCCGCATCCCCTTCTGGGTCTGCGACCGGACTGGGGCGCTACCCCGCCCTGCGCAACCTCTCCCTCCTCAATGCCTCGATGTGCACCCCCACGCGGCGGTTCACCCGCGCTCTACCCACAATCACACACCTCACCGTTATCAACTCCGCGACATCCAAGTTCCTCCAGCTCTTCCGCAAAGAACACGCCGGGCCCGATGCGCACGGGTATGGGTACGGGCACTCGCACTCGCATTCGGAGGGAGTGCTGAGCTGGCCGCATTTGAAGAAGCTGACGCTCGTCGACGACGAGGTCGACTACTTCTTGCTGCACGGAGTCGTGAGGGAGCGTGCGGCGCTGGGCGCGCCGTTGGACCGGCTGATCCTGAACGCGCCGTTCATACATGATGACCAGCTAGTGGCGACGCTGGAGGAGTGTGTGAACGTGGACATTGTGAAGGACGTCGACCTCGATCATTAGCGCCCTTTGTTTCGGGGCTGCAGAGGTCAGGGAGGGGTAGGAGTAGGTGGGTGCTCCATTGACATCGTTGGCGCTGTTCTTTGAGCCAACATCCCATATACTCGGTCGTGTACTGACTTGCATTGTGTAGCGCTACATTCTAGTTCTGGTTTCCATTCTCTCTGCCCGGTCTTGTTTACACCCTCCACGTCATTGTGTACCGCTGTCTCCATAGGATTCTCTCACCCTCACGTATCATGTTTCTCGTCATTGGCATTGGGTATGCTGTACATTCATGTACTATACGTTCAGCTAGGGATCAACACGCACTATTCCCATAAACCCCTCGATATGGAGGGAGAGCGTGCCACGGAGGTTGTTGCATGGCGCTTCGTTCCTCCGCGGGGATTGGAATGGAGGACGCACCGAGGCGTCGCCCTCCATTCTATTGACCCTCGGAGGCGACGTGTGGCTTTCAAGCCTTGTGTCCTACGTATAAGCCATGTCGGAGGTGAGTGTATGCGGTGCCTCTGCCTTGTCCGGCGATACACTCAACACCAAGACTCGGAAGGGCGACGCGCGGTACACACCGTACGCCGTCTCGTCTTCGGCCATTCGCTCGTTTTCCTCGTCGGCCTCCAGAACCCGCGCTCTCGTCTCTGGTCTCCTCGAGGAGCATGACTGTGGGATGCCGACAGCCGCATTCGCGTCTGTTGGTACCACTTCTTCCTCGGCGCCTTCACATATGGATTGGCCTAGCGTGGTTTCTGCCTCATCTCTGGACGGTGAACGCGCAGTACTTACCACCTGCGACACGTCCTTGTCTCAGGTGAGTAGCCCACATTCATGACAACTCCAGTCGATGCCGCCGTGGCAAACCCGGCGTCACCATCTATTGTAATGGTGACTGGGCCCTTCGTACATATCATATGGAGACATCGCGGGCGATCACGCTCGTCTTGACCTACTCGCACCATGCCGTTGTACCCTTCTGGGCGTCGCGAGCCTTCTTCTCCGCGCAGCCGGTCCTTGGCATACCTCAACATCGCCAACTCGGGGCGAGAGACCCAGCTTTCGGACAAGACTGGCTATAAAGGCAATGTTTTCGGGTCGCTCGCCCGCCCGCCCGGTCGACGAGCGCTTCGCATCCGGAGGATCTGCGTGTCGCCATGAGCAGCAGCGCGTCGCATGCGCACGATGTGCGGACGGAGATACGAGGTAATTCCGATGCCGACGGTTTCTGAACTACGAGTTCGGAGACGGGGCTAAAGGTAATCTACATCGACCATCGAGCGAAGATGGAATCGCGATCCGTGTGTTCGCGCGATGTGGAGCTGTGGGGGATCTGCAAGGAATATGAACCATATAATGAAGGCGAGCCTGAGTAGTCTATCAGCAGAGATCTGGGGTGCATGACCGAGACGAAGCTTACCGCGCCGAGTGCGCCGCGGCGATGCGATAGGAATGTCGCGGAGTACGCCCGTCGAAGAGAGTGGGGACAAGATCATGAGTATCGAGATAGCGTCCGTACGCACCTCCGCATTGCCCATCGGCCTTCACCGGTGCGTCCAGAATGTGATCAGGCCTGCGCCAGTGAATAGGATTCGGCCGGAGCAACTCGGATGGGGTGGACGGGCGAGCGATGGCGTGCCTGCCCTGCCCCTAAGCAATCCCATCCATGCGGCAGCAGCTCGAACACCTATCCACTCGTCGCGGCGGGCATGCTCTCTTCGAGGAGCGGCGCGTGTGGCGTAGCGATGTCTGCCTAAGGCTCAATCCCCCGCTTCATCATCTCCAGGTAGGGATGGAGGACCTCGTCAATACCCTCGAATGCCGCGGACATAAGACTTGCTCGAGTTCCTCGACGTCTGCGATTGAGAGATATGGCTGAATAAGCGGTCGTTTGGCAGCATAGTGTGACGCCACAAAGTCTTCTCTGGAGGAACATCGTCCTCTATTATGTACTGTATCTTGAACTAGGAGCTATCGGCGACGTCCAGACGCGATGGCACAAGGATCTCGCACCTCCCTATGAAGGTAGCGATACCAAGGAGCGTAGGGCGAAAAGGGACCCCTCGGGAGTACCGCTGCTCGAAAGGTGATGTATGGGGTAGTAAGACATGACCACGCTTCAGTCATCTCGACAGGGCTGCGTTCGATATCGCAAGTACAAGGCTTTCTGTTGGGAATTGACGCTTCTATGTGCCGAAGATGTAAGAGCGATCCGACAAGTACCATGAACCCGGCATGGACGGGCAAGGGGCCGGTGTAAGACGAGGGATTGAAGTCGACGACTTGCCCTAGAGACGATACCAAGTAAGCTGATGCCCGCGCTAGGAAATGTCCCTTGACGACGTTTGAGACTGCCATGCAGTCACCACGCCAGACACACGTGGGCGCTGAGTGCTGAGTACTGAGTCGTGGTACTAGTACTTACCTCGTAACCTCGGAACGGTGCAAGCAAGACGCGTTTGCTGGTGGAAATACCGCCATCGACCATGGTACATCGGCATTGAAGACAAGGAGATCAATGTGCAGCAATGTACCATTCTCGGAGCTTCGGCGTGGGGACCGAATGAGCAAAGGCCCAGGATGTATGAAGCGCCTAGGGTGCTTGGGGCATCCTTAGATCGAATCTGCCGCAGACTGTGATCGACCAGAATGTGATTGGCCAGATACGAGCGTCACAAGGGCAGGTGGGTCCAAAAGCCGAGGAAGAGGATAAGGTCACTGTGGCGAGGATGCGTTCCCGCAAGGACGCGGTAGTTGTTCAGGAGCTTGGTGTGACGTGTCATGATCACAGACGTCTATAGACCTTTTGAAACATAGTAAACCATCTCGGAGGTTCAGAATGGGCGCAATTCGCTTACCAGTCCGCCAATACCACATGGGATGCACGCCTATGATAGGGCTGGACATGAAGACATGTGGGTCCACATTTGCGATGCTGTGGTAGCGGGTTGTTTTACATGCTCCTATCCAGGTGACCCTGTTATGCGAAGGTGACACCAAGCATCACATGAACATACACTTGAGATTCCAGCGATTGATGTTGCCTGTATAAGGAAAATCTGCGCGACTGAGACCCGCGATATAACGAACTGCACGGACATCACTGCACGCAAGTGCAGTTTGGTACTCACTGTGGTGTCGTAAAAGCTGATATATTTGATAAAAACCATGTTAGCAGTAGAACACTCCCCAACATGTAGTGACATGAGCTTACTGAGACTTCACCCCTCCGGAGCCGTCGGCGGCAAGATAGCATTGGCAGTCCGCGGTAAAGAGGTGCCCGGTCGGCGTTTAACGTACCATACTCGGCTAACCCATCCGGGTAGCCGTACTCGACGCTCTCAATACGGACGGGTTGACTTTGACGAACTACGCTGTGAATGACAGTGATACGATGATATAACGCATATTATTGGACTCGATATTGTCTTGTAGTACGGTGACACGGTAAAACAGGGGATCTGTGCCAGTGGTGGATTTCAAATCGAGGGATGGATTTTATTATAATGGTTAAATGTGACAATGGAGGTGACACCATATATATCGATAGGGTGAGATGATTCACATACGATGGAATTGCGGTCAAGACGCAGAAGTCTGAGTATATGGCAAGAGACAGTCAAGGTGACGATACAATGTAGACACCGCCAGAGATAGCGTAACATGTACAGTATGATGTAAATTCCGGAGAGTCGAAAGACGTTAATGATACACCGCGGATACGTGACGAGAGAAAACGAGTATTGCAAAGGCGTGACTGCCATGGAGAGCTATCGAAAGCGAAGAGATGATGACCGTATGTCAGGGAGTGTGCGAGATCTGGATTCTATGGTCGGTGAAGTGAAGTGCCAAGCGCGCCCAAAGACCGCGAGATTTGCGTCGGAGCGCAGGACTTATGCAGGGGCCTAACGATGTAGCTGTAGCCATCGATAGAGAAGGCTTATTGGGGCAGGGAATACATACGCTACGCCTGTCTTTCCGTGATGGGAGAGTAGGGACAGAAGACGGCCTCATACCGAGGATGGCCATGCGTGTCCTCCTCAACATTGATCCCATGGAACCACAGCCCAGGGCGATGACGTTCGGCCGGGTACAGATCGACGTTGCGCAGGACATCACGCCGAGATGTGTGCTTGGCGCGGACGGTCGCTGCCCATTCAGCGTGCGGCCTGAGGGCGTCGACGCTCGGGAGGTCGTGCTCCTCCAGAGGCTTGTACAGGGCAGCGAGCATCTGGGCAAAGACCTGGCGCACCGAGATGGGTTCGCCTTCGTACTCGGCGATCACCACGACGGTGTCGTCGTACGCAGTGGTGAACGGTTGGGGATGGAGGCTGATCGCGAACGACTTCACCTCCTGCGTGAATAGGAAGGCGGGCTCGTCGAGCACCGTGTCGTTGATGTTGGGCATACGCAGCGTGCGCACGTCCCATGCATACTGCGCGGAGGTCAAGACCTGGTGCAACGCGTGCACTGAGCTTGTCTGCGGAGCGAGAAGGGGCGGTAGTTCGACGGTGCGCATGAGTGGCGCAGACGGAACGGGCTCGCTGGTAGGAGTACTTTCGCTCGAGTTGACCTCAATTTCCTCGTAAACCACCCGGGTATGCACATACCTCGCAATGTCCGTGGTGGTCGCTGCAGTGTGGTCTGTGGGAGCCTCCTCAATGCTCGTCGCTGCTCCAACTTCCGTAGGAGAGTTCGCGACGGAGCCTACGAGGTCGGCCCAGCGCACTTCCTTCCGAGCACCAGCACGAGGGAGGTTGTTCATAGTGTGGTAGAGTGATTTATTGAGCGCAGCAGTGCAGAAGGAAGTACAGAGGTCGAGCTCGACAGTGTGGTATGTTCGTAGGGATGGTCCTAGCACCGATGCGCCCCCATACACAGACCCGGATGGGCACCTGGCGCCTCGGCACACTCACCGGCCCCGCATATTCAGCCACACCTGCAATCCTACCCAACTTTCCGGACGTTGCACGCCGCCCAGTCCCTCCAGCTGACTCCAGAACCTGTCGGATGACTTCCGACAACACCTGGAATTTAAGCGGTATTTTTCACATACTGAGTCCGCGAGATACCTGCAAGAACGAAGGCAGGGACTGCGAGCGGCAAAGCCGGCAGAGGAGATTCGGAGAAGCGGGAGGGGAAATCAAGGCGGGGGCCAATGACAGGTGCACGGGACATAGGCGGGCAAAAGCGCACGGCCAGGTACTGGGCGCCCGGGGAAGGTGAAGGAGAGGAAGGGCATGGCCGGCGGAGGGTAGGAAAGGCAAGCTGCAGTGGCCCAGACATTATAACCTGGTTCAAGACTTCGGACGCGCACATTATAGCATGGGAACGCCCCTTGTTCTCAACGCATAGGCGATCGCACGCAACGTCAGATCTATCAGACACACCACCGGCGGTCGATAGAACAACGCCGGCGTGATCGCGCATGCGATGAGAATAATAGGACCTGGATACAAAGGCATACAAGGTAAAATGCTCACCTGAGCTATGGGAATACCTACCCTTTTGCGGTGGATGTCTGCAGACCGTCGTTCCGGACGTCCGGCGGCGCGAACACGTCATTGAGACTATGTCATGAACCGTCGCCGCCGGATGATCTGCTCATGGAGAAGCACGTACCTCATGCACATGACACTAAAAGAATGCTTCGGAATGCGCCCGACCATGTGAGCGGCTCGCTCGGGGATTGCGAAGGCACAGCAGGGAGTTCCTGTGAGTACTGCCTCAGCATGTCAGCTGAGACGCAGCGACGGATAAATACGGTGGGGCGATGATGGGTCCGTACGCCACTATAGGAAGTTTGGCTTACTCCATCCTGAGCGGATAGCGACGACATGCAGTCAGCGACCATCAATGGCGTACATCTGACCTGCCGCAGCCTACGCTGCTAGGTAGTCGAGATTTCGCTGATAATTCAATAAGCATCGATTGAAGTAAATACATAGGGGGAACACATACAAGTCGAGCGGCGCGAATACAAAGTCGACTAGGCAGCAAGTCTTGTGGTGAGGCGATTGAGACATTGATAGATTATGGTGAGCTGTAAGGAGGGGTCAGTAGAAGAGCTGGTAATTGGGAGGGAAGACTCAGAGGCGAGAGAGGGGGATTGAGGAAAATTGATGGAGACGTCTTATACTAACTCGAGGCGAGAAGCGCTGAGGTGGGACTCGGCGACCCGGCGCGCCACTCGTAAGTGGCTTGACTTCGACCCTTGTGCACTGATGCTGCCTGATCCAGATGAATTGCTCCGTGTATCGCCGCCCTTGGTTCTAAGTCACATCAACAGTCGCCGGGGATATGAGAATCCATACCTAACCGGGCGTGGATTCCAGGCACTATTGACGTGTCGTATGGTGGATATCCCGACCACCCGGCTATCCAATCTGCGCTCTTCCCATTCGCCTCGAGGCACCCTCCCGCCTTTGTCCCGTGAGCTAACTCTGACCTATGTTGTGCCACGGCGAGGTCAAGTGATTGGAAGCTGAAGCCGGCATGTCCTGCTCGTTGAATACCCGGGTCGGCCGACAGGCGTCTGTGACAATGTCATCCGCAGCACAGTGCAAGTCATCCCAGCATGGCGAAAGTGGAAGTCGACTCACGGGGGTGCGCGGACGGTTTTCTGACGTCTTGAATCCTCCTTACAGTCATCAAGACGACGAATGCGGAGTCGTAACGCCGCCGTCCGTCACTCTGCCTGGCCGTGGGTTCGTAGACATCCCATCGATATTCATGATCTAATCTATTGACACCTTCGACACATATCGCTCGCCGATAGTCTTCCGGGTTCTCCTACTTCTGACTTCGCAATGGAGCATGAAACGTTGCCGCTGCGGTAGATTTTCATTCACCGAAATCAGCATGATTCGTACTCGGCATAAACTTCGATCGGCTGCTAGTACCGGCGGCGCGTCTTCAGAGAGCTACCGCCGACCCATAATCCTATGTAGGGAAGAACCCTGACATGAGGTGGGGTGAGTCCCACCCCCTTGCGTCCCGCCTTCCCAATACAGTTGCTTCTGAGCCTGCATCTGGCGTATTTGAGTAGGCCTTACCACGCCGACCTCCTTCGTGTACCCAGATAACTCACCCTACATAGATCTACGCGATCCCTAGCAGTATGTTTCACAAAACCATTCCTCTGTTGAAGTTATATGAGAGCTGACTTCAGGTTCCCGTAACCATGCCAGGCTTCCGTACCGCTCTCCGATCGCTCTCCTATCGCCGCGGAGAGAAGACCTCATGCTCACCCATCGATCTTGTCCACATAAGTACGAGAGACTTGCATCCAGGGCATTCGGTGCTCATCCCCGCCATCCAGACATTTGGCCTTCACCACGACGTGATAGAACGTACCGGTATACCCTTTATGCACCCCTTTCACCCTTCATGAAGCTCACGAACTTACTCGACCTTCCTGCTAGTGCTCAATGCGCCGCAGGGGACGGTGCGACTACGCTTTACTCTCCTGCAAGGTAGCATACGGAGGCGCTCGCATTTGCTTTATCTGCACGCGGCTGCTTACTACTGCCTTCGACATCAGCAAAAGTGTATAAGTCTTGTCGTACATTACCCTCCCATGCTGGCTCGGGCAATCGTGAGGATACCGTGCGACACGTCAAAAACATTGCCCGCACCTTGTCAGGATCTCCTTCCAGCGCAAGGACACTGGATGGGTTGTACTACAAGGCCACGTCGAGAAATACCGGGCAATACTGGGAATATATCGCAAGGATTGCCCGGTATTTTGGGTATCACCCTAGCACGCCACGATGACGATCGAGCGCCGTAATATCTCATGAGGCCCGGCATTGTCGGGAATGCGCGGTGAGGGACTACCAAGAAGCCCGGGCAGTACAGTGTGATAACTTGTAGACGCGGTGGGGTATTCTGGACAGTGCCCCGGATTTTCGGAGCTGGGCGGTCAGAGGAGACAGTGTAGCATATATACGAACACCACATGAACTTGCCTGCTTGCCGGTCCGAATGCTCGC